ATACAAAAGATTTTTTTAGATTATATAATTTTAAGCATGTAAGTAATTGGAGAGATTTCTTGTAAAATATTCACAAGAATATAAAATATGAAATAGTGTAAAAAATGTTTGTGAAAAACACAAAGTAATAGAGAATAGTCATTTATGAAGCCAATAATACTGCCAATTGGAATGACCATCGGTTATAGTAACTCATGACCTTCACTTGTTCTTATTTCGCATACACTGTATATGTTCATACATATACCATAAATATCAGTGAAACATTTATCCATTGAATTTAGTGAAACAGATACTTTAAAATCTTAATGAAAACAATGAAAATATTGATATGTTTCTACAAGAAGTAAACAGTACTTACAAGCATTGCGAGGTAAGTAATGTATGCTGCGAAAACACTGAAATTAAAATACTCAGAAGTAATAGAACATTTTCATCGTTGTCACTTCACTCTATTCAATGCAGTCTTTTCAATCTGTAACGTGTCAAGTCTCCCACCATAGAGTAGCATTGACTTGAAGTTTGTGTTGAAAATCAGCGTCTTGTTCTTTATGCTGAGTCCAATAGATTTCCACACTGACTTCAGATTAGTGAAGGCCTGTCTTACTGTCTTTCCGATCCTGGTTTTGACACCCCATCTGTGCCACTGTCGCCTGTAGTTGAAACGATACCACCTAAGTAGGGTAGTGAGAGACAACTTCTTTTAGATTTCAGCGGTAAATGGTAATTGGTGCTCGTTGTTCGCTGGGTATCTTCATCACCTATCTTTTCTACGTTCACCTGAAGTCCTGTCTTCACTGTTTCTTCTGTAGGCATTTCGCTTCCTGTCTGAAGACTTTCGAGTTTTTGTAACACTAGACATTAATCATCGGTGAAATCAAAATCTTCTGGTGTATTTTCATCGGTCCAGCCAGCCTATACTCATCTTCTCGCTCCTCACAGTTTCTTGCGCGAGCTAATCTAGTCCATTCGACCACAATCAAGAAAATCTTCGGTGGCGGATAGTAGGCAATCCTATCCTACTCCTATCTTCACTTCAAAGGCATCACTGAGCTTACCATTATGAATCAATTGGCATGTGGCATCATATAACACATAGCTGTTGAATAAGGCTGATAAAGGTTCGTGACACTAAAACTGTACAGTTGAAGCAGCTGCCTGCCAATTTACTTATCGGTCGACGCTGTCGAAGGCCTTTTCAAAGTCGATGAAGTTGAGGTAGAGTTGGGTTGACTGCTATCCTATGCTCTGTTCTATTGTGATGTGTAGCCTAGTGTTGCAATTCGATCCGTACATGATTTATTCATCCTGAATCCAGCCAGCCAGCCATCCGGTTCCGGTTGTAATTTTGAATAAAGGGCATTTTTTAGTTTCTCCAGTAAGGTGCCACTTAATATTTTGCTTGAGATGGACAGGAGCATGATTCCGCACCAGTTCTTGTAAAGATCTATGTCGCCTTTCGTTGGGAGTTTGACCAAGTAGCCCTTCTTTCAATCCACCAGCAGGTATCCTTCCTTCCTTCCAAACCGTCTGTAGTTATCAAATAGGTCTAATAAATTTCCGGTTGGTATTTGTTATAGACTATTAGAAACTTGAGAGCACTTCCAATTTCTGCACTCAGCCCGCTACCATTGAGCTTCTGCGTCAGAATACAATGGTTCAAATTTCCTACTTCTGTCAGTTCACGATATAGCGCAACTTCCATCCTCTCTGGTCGTGGAGTGACTGTCCTCATGTTGGACTTGGTTGGCTCCAAGGGTCGCAACTTCTCATTAAGACTTCGAGAATCATCTCTCAAAGTTAGTCCGACCCAGTAGCTCAGTGGTAGTGCATGGCTACTGATCTTGAAGGTCCTGGGTCCGATCCCAGGCGGGGTCATGGATGTGCACTGGTTAGAATTCCTACTCTGGGACGAGACAGTTCTCCAGTACTTCCATGTATCCAATGTTTTTCCAACTGATATCCACAAACCTCAGAATAGAAAATCCAACAAATACCTATAGTCATTTTTATTATTTGTCCCTTGGGTTACTAGTGGAACATACAGCTTCAGTAGCAAGTCTCCATTCCACTCTCTTCTCTGCAATCTTTTGAACCTGGTTCCACGATTGCCAGCAATTTCTCATTTTTTCCTCACAACATCTTGTCCATGTCACGCTCAGTTGGGACGCTCAGAACGCCGTTTCCAATCTGGCTTCCACTCGACGACCTGTTCTGGCGCGTGATGTCCCCAATCGGTCTTCTCAGTGTATGCCCAATCCATCTCCACTTCCTCCCACTGCATATTTGCTGAGCGATAGGTTCTTGGTTGGTTCGTTGCAGAGTTCCATGTTGTTTATTCTTTCTGGTCATGTGGGCTTTAGTATCGAGCCAACGTGGGCAGTTGTTGATGAATATCTGTAGTTTGTTTAAAATGCCTTTAGTAAAGCGCAAAGTCTCTGAACCATATAGAAGCAATGACTTGACTGGATGCGTGTTGAAAATCTGGATCTTGTTCTTTATGCTGAGCGCAGGAGATCTCCTTACTGGTTTCAGGTTAATCAACGCCTGTCTTGCTGTCTTTCTGATCCTGGCTTTGACGTCCTCATCTGTGCCTATGCCGCCTGTGGTTGAGACGATGCTGCCTAGATAGGTGCAGGAGGCTACTTTAAGTTTCTTCCGTTACCAATAGTTAAGGTGATTCAAATCAGTATTACTGATCTGTCTTTTGTTTAGATGATAAACTATGACTTCAATCAGTCTTCTCTTTGAACAGTTTTTTGTATTATTGACTACTCATAAATCAGTACTTATGCCTATGCGAATCACATCAATCTTAAGTAAAATTGTTGTGATGAACAAATTACAATGCATTCTTTGAGATGTATGTAAGTCTTTTAGATAAATTATTACATCGCCAGTGATTCACTAACTTCCCTAATTATCATTAACTTATCATCCACTTTATTATGTAATCCATCTTAAATATTGCAGCACCTACTTATTAACAGTATCTTTTTGGATATACAACTACGGCGCTATATTGTGAACTAAAAAAAGTTGGATATTCATATTTTTCAGTACTATATTTTGATACTTCATAACAATTTTGTGTCAGACATCAGCATCATATGAACTTGGCTACATGGTTTCCAATGGTAACTTTGTTGAAGTCATAGTTGAACGGTTTTCCAACTGCTTATCTTTGACAAATATCAACGTGAAACGGGTAATTTGTTGATTATTCGTGAATTGATCATCCTCTTAAAAGGTATACTAGTTCACGTGAATCAGCTGACCAAATTCGGTTAATCTGAAGACTTCATCTCTGTGGTATGCTTTTGTTAGAGTACATAAGTGTCTGGAAGACAGAGTAGCTGGTGTTCATATCCACTTCACCTGATTTCTTGATCTTATTGATCATATGGTTTACTTCTGTTTAACCGACATTAGAATTTCCAGCATGATAATAAATCATTGTGTATACTGAGAACATTACAAATTCAATGACAATATCTCTTTGGCGGTTTGTGAGGAATTTTTAACTTCCAGTTGGTATTCATCATTCACTGATATCAACTAGAGGAGCACTGGACAGCTGTTTCATCCTAATATATAGAACTCCTCAGCAGTGTACACCCACAACCCCGACATTCAAGTTTCATGGCTCATACGTTACTATCAAGCCATTTTGTCAGAATCTAATGGTTGATATTTACAACTCTTGTCAGTTTACGACATACTGCGGCTATCCCAAAATGTCATCGTTGAATATTTGCTGTCACATGCACCAGATTTTCTCTTCTCCTCGATCATAACTTCATATTCATACTTCAGGAATCACCTCGCAATGCTAGTCAAAAATGATCACTAGATTATCACAATTTGAGGGTTGTGAGGATTGATTTATTTCAAGTTGGTATTCATCGTTCCCTGGTAGGGTCATGGGTAAGAACTTCTGAGGAGTCTAGATTTCTAATGTTTCTTAAACTAATGTCAGTCCAACATGAATGAATGCTAGATACATATTTTCTCAAATGTATTGTAACATGAATTTCACATAAACGTAGGGAATTAACGACCCATATTTATGTACTTGGAGTAGAGTTATTCCACTGCTTTTATAAAGTAGTGTATAATAAATCAGTTCAGCATTCTTAGCATCCAGTGTCTCTACAATCAATACGAGACTAAACTTTTGTGTACTTCTGAAGCTATTCAACTTTAATTATATCTGGCAGCGTTCTCGAAGTAATCATTTAGTATTGCGATTGAGTATTACATTAAGCTAATTTTGTTACATTGGGCATACAATGAGGCACCATCCATCATGGTCGAACAAGGGAAAAATTAGAACTATAAAGAGCTCCATACTTGCACATTTAGTTGACACAGGACATCAAGTGGTTACTGGAAAAGCCTTCAAAATTATCCATCAGATCCCAATTAATTTACCTCATGGATTACGTACTCGATTACTTCACATAACAGAGGTGACTGCAATCCACCTTCACAAACCTCACCTTTTGTATTCGAAAGAAGTTTATTCGATCACTTTCATTACTGTGGCCGTCAACACGATGTGACTTCTAGGTTTACTTTGTACATCTCTTCCTCTTCATCTTATTTCTATCAATATTCACACATTAAAATCAGTCCATTTACCAAAGAAAAGCTTGTTTCATATTTCCAATTTTAGTAACTCTATTGATTGGTTATTTACATCATTATCTCCGAAACATCACCGTACGTGATTGGTGCATTGATTAAATTGTAAACCTCGTATATATTAATGAAGATCTTATTGAAAAGGAATATAATTTCTTCGCTTGCTCACAATTAGTCTTTTTCTAACTTTTGTTTCTATTCAAGTTCAGCATACACTTTGTTTCAAACCTGTTCTTAACCTTGATTACTGTTTCAACAAGTGTATCTAATAATAATAATAATAATAATAATAATAATAATAATAATAATAATAGTAATAATAATAATCTAATATTATTATTATTTTAAAATAGAGATTTTGAACTACAAAATGGGATGAAAGTAATGGTTATTTCTGCTTACGGTGATGATGGTGATACTTTAGTAAGTTTAAACAAATCGAATTGTATAAGTGTATTAATGTAACAGATTATTGCCTCGAGATGATAGTTTTTTATCTCAACAAAAATTTATGCTACTCCCAATATTTCAAAATCTTTTACTAATATTATCCTTATTTCTTCATCAACAAATCATTAGGTCATAAAAATTGGATTAATTTAAGCCTATTGACTTTTAATTCATATTCTGGAAAAATGTTAACTGTAATGTGAAGTGTACTGCAGTAACTGTGACTATTTAAACAGCATAAATTCGTTCCTTAATTATATGCCAGGGCGTCAAGTTACAGAAGGTTTACACAGTATAGATTTCTAACGTTCGTAGTCACTGTTCAGACTATCCAAAGAGATTGAGTGTAGTTGACCTTACGAAGCCGAGAGTTAATTGGTTCAGAATGTCACTTCTCTTAGTTCTAGCCTCACTTGTACACCACTAGGTCGAATACTCCCATCTTCTTGAATCCGTCGGTGTTGTGGCCCCCCTAGACGAATAACTTCTCGTTAAAGTTAGCTGCAGTCATTCCAAAGGATTGCTGAGATCTCAGTAAGAAATATCATACACATTTCTGTCCATAAGAAGGTGATTATGGTCAGCTAACCAATTACCTGACTAATGTCGATGTGTCGAAGCTTTGACAGGTGGGAATATTCTGTGATAACACTGTTGAATGTGAGGAAGCGTCAACAGAATACTCTAGCAGGAATGTTTATTTTCATTTGAAGGCTTTGTTTGTATATTTCCTACTGGAAGAAGAGACTGATGCATAAGCTTGTGTTTGGACGTTCACAGACCTAAAGATCGGGTTGAAACTTGGAACTGAACTGAAACCTTAAATTAGGTATTACCGGTTCATTGTAAAATTATGACACAGTAAGATTTAACTCTGGGAACGAACCAACCAAGAACCTATCACGCAACAAATATGCAGGAAGAAGTGGAGATGGATTGGGCATGCACTGAGAAGGCCGACTGAGGACATCACGCGTCAGGCCCTCGAGTGGAATCCCCATGGGAAGCGACGAGTTGGACGTCCGAGGGTGACATGGAGGAGGTCATGCGAGGAGGAAATGAGAGGCTGTGGGCTGTCGTGGAACCAGGTTCAAAAGATCTCAGAGAACAGAGGTCATTGGAGGCGTGCTACTGAAGCCCTATGTTCCACTAGGAACCCAAGGGACTAATAATATAATAATAATAAGATTTAGCACTTAGAATATAACTGTCCGGTATCTGGAATGATAAAGTGAGTTTAACTTATTTTCTCTTGCTCTATGTTTCCCACTTTTAACGCTTTCAAAACGCGAAAGTTTCGCACTTCACTGAACTTCCGAGTTGTAGAAGTTACCAGTTACTTATTCAAGTTAAGTCAACCAATATATAGGACTTGAATGTACTTACAAATGGCTGACCAGATGGTTTTCAATGCAAACTTGAAATCTTATTTCTACTATGGTCATCAGTAGCTGATTAACTATCCTGTTGTCTACTTAGTGTCTGGTACGAGCATTCAGAATTCATGCTCTGGATTGCCAAGTAGATGCCAACATAATGAGTAATCAGGGAGTACAGAGACGTCCGTGCAGGAGCCCACTTTCCAACTAAGGTCAAGCGATTTGCTTCAGTAAAATAACGAAAAACTAAAAGTATCAAATAACAGCTGATACCTGTTGCATTAAAGGCTGCTCTCGTTTCTCACTGGTCTAGTGGTCAACGTTTTTGGTGTTTGAAGCGATTGGTACTAAGTTCGAGCCTTAGTGGAAACAACACTCACCAGCCTGCAGGTACATCCAGCTGACGAGTTCCAGACAGGACGAATTGCGCGTCAAGCTGAATCCCACTGCTAGCTACCAAGTAGACAACAATATAATGAGTAATCAGGCAGTATTGAGGCATCTCTATAGAAGCCTATCTGCTAACAGAGGTCGAGCAATTCAAAGAGATTACAAGCAGCAAGCAACAATAATTAGTTATCCCTCAGCTTGGATAGCAAACTTTCCATAATATAAGTAGTTCAACAAACTTATGCATAACATGCATAATCAAGAGATCTCTGAAGTGATTTAGTACTTGCAGGTCAACCTCAGTATTAGAACTTGAGGGAACTTCCTTCCTATATTACTTACACATAGTCGGATTTTGGTATCATGCGCTGATACCTGAAACTGAGAATATTCTATGACGTATAGAAAGAGTTAATGATAAATTCATAGAAACATTTGTAGATTACGTAATATTTTCAGGAAAGTACGAGACATGGCAGGGTTCGAACCAGTAGCTTTTAATTTGTCAGGTTAATCCTACAATAATTTGTCTATGACGTTCAACTTCTAATCGGAAATCAGTTTAACTTTACACCAGTGTACTTTATGCAGGTGTCAGTTGAATTTTAAGCGTGCAATTCTAACCTTTACGAAATCAAAAGTATAGGAAGGTGTTTACATTCTTTGGTATTCGGTTTAAACACTCCATCTCCAGAGAGCCATGGATTTAGGTTTTATGTTTGCTGGTGAATCTGAAACCAGTATGTAGTTGACTTGCCCTCTGGAAATCAAAGCTGCTTATCTCACTGCCAGGATAGTAGACATTACCTCTAAGTCAACCACATCAATAACAACCAGTTAAACAAGTAAACTATGTACAAAATGCGGTCACATATAAGTGACTAGTGTAGTTGGTTTAGTGGTAATGTCTTATGGAGAGAGATAAGTCTTTTAACTACGATGCGAATAAGAGAAGAAATCGCTTTTGTCATCTAAAATTCACTATTATCGAATCGTGTACTAACTGCCGTTTGTTTTAACTCAGAATTTAGTATTTGCGTACTGAGTATACTGAGTATTATTCAATAAACAATGTTCAATGTCAACCTTTTCATACTACTTATTGTTTGTTACCTGTGACCTTGTGTTTTAGCTATGATAACTAGAAATCAATAAATATGTCTACATACATTTTATATATATACAATCACTCATGGCTTAGAAAAATGTGATCTTGTGATCTAAGCACAGAAATATTTTATTAAAGACATTGAAAGTAGTAATTTAGAAAATGAGAGGAAAATGCACAAAGTTGTTGTCAATATGCCTTTAGGTGATAGTTACCAGCATAAATTAGATAAGCAGAACATCATATGTCTATACGGAAATATGGTGTAAGCTTAAAATGAGTATATCGTTACTCGATAGTAATCAAACAAATTACAGATTCTTTACATACACGCGATAAGTTGCAAATGATAATCCTGATGATTCATCATCATCGAAATCAATATAGGGGCCTGGCATTACTGTGTACCAGTCCAAGTTGCTACACTTCATATCACTAAATCAAATAATAAGGCAATCAAATGAAAGATGAAAAAAGAAAGAAAAATCGATCGAAAGAAGTAGCAAGTAGTAGAAAAGGGGGAGTAGGAATGAGAAAATAATGAAACTAAATAAAACGGTTAAGCTGAGGACAATAGGTGTAAATATCTGCTCCACTGAAATCAGTTCTGAGAAATATCACCTAGAGTCTCCAACCACTGGTTTCTCTTGTCCCATAGACCCCATCCAGCTAGTCTGCATTGGCCTATATGGCTCAAACCAACAGTCAAGGACTTCATGCATCGATCCCATGTTTTAGTCTGGCCGCTCCAAGCTTTTTTCCAGTCAGACAAAACATTGTGCTATGAGATGGACGACGGCTAGGCATACGTAACACATGTCCCAGTTCACAAATGCATCAACTGACATAGCTATCGTCTCTAAAACTTTACGTCTGACTTCTGCGTTACTCATGTGACGATACCAGGAAATACAGTAGTCAAATACCTGGAACCTTCTTATGTCTTCTACTCTAAATGGCCACGTTTCACAGCGACACAGTAGGAGAGAGTGAGCTGCAGCACAGTACACTCGATCCCTAATCGACCATCAGATATCGCGGCGGAGCCATAGATGGCGTAAATTGACAAAAAAGAACCTAACCCTTTTCATCCGTGCAAACACTTCGTCGATCACTGACCGACTTGTCAGAGCTGATCCGACTCTCCAGGTATGTGAAGTATTCAGAGCACTCAACCACTTCACTCTCTTTTGTTATCTGGAACACCGTTGCAGACCAGTGCTGAAGCAAGAATTCGGATTTGGGTGGCGAGAAATGCATTCCAACATTCTCAGATTGTAGCTAATGATGGAACCCAGAATGAGCGTTTGGTAACATTCCGGGCACTTCGACTGGACTCATCTGCTTTCTAGTAAGTGATAATGTTCCTGCTTAGATTCGAAGCCGGGACCAATTACTCCAAACGCCAGAGCATCACGTATTATGATAATGAGCCAAACATCACAACACCGAAAGGTATAAATAAAAATGTACAAGTTACTATGGAAAAAAATTATTAATTAGGTGTATCCTAATTGCTTACATCCTCGCGAACTAGAAACAGAAACTCAGCGCATGATACATTTTTCTTATCAACTAAATTTCCGCACATAAGATTCATCACGAACATTGATAATGATAAGCAGGCAACAAAACTACTGACCACCATTGATTTGTTATGAATATCAGTACTGGATACCTTGCCGAACTCCCATAGAAGGGTGACATAAATCTTTACAAGAACTGGTGCGGAATCATGCTCCTGTCCATCTCAAGCAAAATATTAAGTAGCACCATACTGGAGAAACTAAAAAATGCCCTTTATTCAAAATTACAACCGGAACCGGATGGCTGGCTGGCTGGCTGGCTGGATTCAGGATGAATAAATCATGTACGGATCGAATTGCAACACTAGGCTACACATCATCATAGAACAGAGCATAGAATAGCAGTCAACACGACTCTACCTCAACTTCATCGACTTTGAAAAGGCCTTCGACAGCGTCGACCAATAAGTAAATTGGCAGGCAGCTGCTTCAACTGTACAGTTTTAGTGTCACGAACCTTTATCAGCCTTATTCAACAGCTATGTGTTATATGATGCCATATGCCAATTG